CAAGAATGTGCCTGTCAAGCGGCGCTGTTCAAGTGAATTTTGTTTCGTAGTAACCATTAAATTCTCCTTCTCCTGCACATCCCAGATCTGGATCAAAACCCCTCCTGTCCCGACCAGGGTTTTGGCCCCTTTTCTGCCAGGGCGCCGGGAGGCGGCTGCACCCAGCAGCTTCCCACCTCCCTTCCCGGCGGTGGCCTTGCACAATGGGGAGCCTTTGTCTCCATTTCGGTGTCTAAGGGCCTGGAGCACACTCTGAATATGCCTTCCCCACCCAAGTTAATGCAAATTAATAACAAAGCAATTTTCCACTGGGAAGCAGACAGCAGAAGGCTTATTTGCTTTCCCTCTGACTCAAGGATTAGAGGGACTCGGCTGCAGGACCACAGAGCTCTGTTTGCTCACCTGGGAAAGTCATGACGTCAGGTTTTCACAGTTTGCTACAGCAGTTTGTGATACAAGCAGTGAAGCCTCCTCTCACCAAAAGCCAGGGTATTTTCAGCAGCCACACGGCAACATGGTATACGGAAGAAGAGACTGGCACAAGCGGCTCTGTGCATCCTCCAAAAATGGTGCAGGCAGGTATAAATGCAAAATCAACACGCTTTCCTTTTTCCCTTCCACCTCTGCTATTTTATACGCTTCCAAGCACCACTTTCCAGCTTCCAACAAAGTGCTACAGAGGAGGTCTGGCAGCTCCCCCAACCCGTCCGTCTGCAGCTCTGACTCGCTGGTGTCCTACACTGCCTAATTCAGAGAGACTTATCTTCGGAGGGGTCACCCCCAGCGCCCAGGACAACCACCCTGACAGCTCAAACCCTATGGGAAAGAGACATTTCCCGACGCACAGAGGTGGCTTTGGTTCCGTGGAGCAAGAGGCCAGTGCAGCAGAACCGCCCACCTCTGCCAGGCAGCTGCTGTGGTCCCCTGGCCCCTGCCTGCCCTGCCAGCAGCCCTGCAGCCCCCTGTGGCTGGCCCCATAAGCTGAAACACATCTGGACAACAAGACCAGTGCTGCAAGTACTGAACACCGGGGCAGGGGAGACGACTGTTTCATAAAGAGAAGGCTATTCAAATGCTGTTTCCGTGCTTATTATTCACAACATAAAGTCCCCTCAAGAAGTGAGGTGTTTTCTTGCACTGGTCATATGAAACCAAGCCCGACAGTTCCAAATTGTTTGGAAGGGACAATAGAAATGCAGAGCAACTTTCATGAGAAAAAACGTTTCTGCCTCTTCAGAAACAAACACAATGGTTCCCACCACCATGGCTGCCCACCACCAGCACCACCTCTATCCGCTGACCTCTGCAGAAAAGCACACCTACCGTGACTTTCACACATTCTTATGTCCACAGGTAATCCATGGGCCTGATCTTTTGACAGACCCAAGCCATCCCTGAAAAATGTCCCCGCTTGCAAACACTCATGCCATTACAGCGGCGTGTACGTGTGCAAGGTGATTTGTGGTCAGGTCCCAGTCAGCTTGCAGAGGCGCTGCTCATTAGCGGTAGCTCAGGTACACCTACGGCAACGCAAGGTAATGCAATTTATCTTGTACCACTCCCGGTGAAGTCGCACCACGGCACGTTTGCTATGCTCCTAACGGCATGCACACAGTTCCTGCAGCCCAGCTAACGCTTGGCAATTTGTTAAACTCCATTAACATCACTGTGAGTTTGAGCTCTTAATTACCCCGTTATCTAGACCAACACTAGACAATAGTAGAAAACGCAGGAGTTAAACCACTGCTGGTATCCCATGTGCCAGGCTCCAACCTCGCTGCCGGGAAGACCACCGAAGGCCATGTGGGAGAGCGGGAACTGCTGTGGGTGCCAGCAGCAGCGAGACCCCTGCGCCTCCCGTGCGGGCTCTGCCTTCGAGCCAAGGCAAGGGCTCGGCACAGAGAGCCTTTGCAGGACTGCAGCTACAGGGGACCCCTCAGCCTGCACACGCCCCGATGCATGCCCTGCCTAAACGGGCCCCCCAATACGCTGCTGGCCACTGGGGGAATCATCTATTTGCTTTGTTTTACAAGGGCTTTTTAAGCTACCTGAGAACATCGCATCCCAACTCTTATTGAAAGCCTAATTGGAAGTCTCAAAAAGCAATTACATTAAAAGCACTCTGCAGTGAATCAACTAACTACCCGCTTGCCCAGGAGCCTCTCACACCAGCCGCAGCACCGGCCGGTGGGGCTGTATTTCCAGGACCTGCGCACGGAGCTGGGCACGGAGGGAGGCTTCACGCACGGGAACACCACAACAGCTTCCCCCTGGAAGAAAGAAGCGTTTGTGAGTTACCACAAATGCTCCCCCTTCCCCAAGTCCTTCGACATCATCCCACTGAGAAAGCAAACAAGCAGCAGAGAGCAAGCCTGCTGAGCCAGGGAAAAAGGATGTTCATGTTTGTTTATGATTCAATTAAAATTTGAGATGTCGCAACCAATAAAGAGTAAAACTGCATTCTGGTTCTAGAAGCCCTTAAATCTTATGTGACCTATGCCTTGCAAGACACAATAAAAATATAAATATTTACATTATAACTTCCCCTTTTTTTCCCTGCTTCTTCACTGTTTGCAGCACAGCTGGGCTAATCCCATTTCGACTGCGCTGTATTCTGACCTCCTTAAACAACCCCATGCTAGGATGTTAAAACACTCTAATCTATAAATAATGTATTCCTCTCATCCAGCAATGGATTACTGGGCCATAGACTGCACGGGAACTCACCACACAGTCACCAGTTTGATTAAATAATACTGAGAAGGAGATATCAGCAGAGTCGTCCTCTTTCTTGCCAAATTCTTTTAAATATTTGACGCCACCATTACTTTTGCATTGGATTTTTCTTTTTTAATAAATTGTTTAGGAGCTGGTATTTTATTCTGGTGACCTCTTTTTTCACCCTCCACCAAAGACCCTTTATTTTTTGTGCTATTAAGCCTCACAGCATGGCAAAAGACCAGCACTGGATAACTAATCAGAGCCAAAGTGCAGGGGGAATAAATAAAGGGCTCGCTGCTGCCATACACCACGGGGCCTCGACATACACAGGGAGGTTTTAGACCCAAGCCAATCTGTTGCCCCAAGCGGGGACCTCCCATTTCTGCCCTCCCCCGCATCCTCCAGTCCCAGCTTCTGGCAGGAGGATGCCCAGGCATTCACTGGACCCCACACTGGGCCAGTCCAGGTCACTGATCCTGCAGGAAACTATCCGTCTTTTCCTGAGGGTTCATTTTCAGACAGCCATTACCTACGACTCAAGCCATAATGTGTAACTTCATTTAGAAGTAGATGAGTCTGCTCTGAAGAGCGATGTCTAACAGGCTTGCTCCCACTGCTGCGATGGTGCAAAATCGTTGCCCCTCCTATGCCACGGATGCCAGCAGAAGCCCTACCACTGATTTCCCAGAGCAAAAGCATAAAGCTCAAGCAAACGCTTAAATGATGCAAATTTGCGGTTTGGCAGATTTTTTTCCGACAGGCATTCTGGAAAACTAAAGTGTTTCTGCCTCAAAACAAGTTGGAAGCCTCTTAAAAACAGAAGTGCACCCTTGAAAGAGCAAGTTCCCCTAGCAAGTGTAAGCAGGCATGCCACACTTCAGCTCTTGATTCCTTAGCTGCATTTAACACAGCAAATTTCCACGCTTTTTTTGTAATGCACAGATCACTTTTAGCTCTGAAAGGATCGGGGAAAAACAAGCAACTCAGTGACACCCACAAAACCCGCTTCCTTCGTTCCACTGCACTAACCACACGTGAAAATTTAAATCACTCCCGCAATATGAAAACGCCGTCAAAGGAATTAATAGCCACCTTGACAATGGGTTTCTGGTATATTAAACGAAACAATTAAAACACTAACATTTCCAACAGCTACAGCGTGACTTAATTCCCCCAAAAAAGGTACGCATTATACTTTGCCTCTGCACGGGAGGATTACTCATGGCTGATGGGTTGCCGCGCAGCTCTGAATCAGGTCTGAACCTTGCCCGTCAGGAAAGCGAGCCCGTGCCCCTCAGGAAGCAGAACCCGAATCCGACATTGCTAGAGCAGGCCTGAAGGCAGCGGGTCGGGACGGCCAGCCGGGAGAGGGTGGCGAGCCGGCCCCCCGGCGGCAGCCAGCTGCCAGGGGAAGAGCGAGGCCGGGAGACAACGCTGCCCGCTTGGTTATTAGCCCTAATGCTTAGTCACAGTAATTGCAGGGCCAGGGCTCTGTACTCACATTTCCTGTCACCAACCCAAGAATTAGGCAATTTAGATTTAAAGATAGTAACCGGTATATAAAATAACTTGGTAAGCGACCTCAGAAGTAACTAGGAGAAAAACGAGCAACCCGATATGGAAAAGCTTCCTCCAGCCCCTGTTTCTGCAGCGTTATCAGATCTTCGGCGAGTGCGAGACCCCGCCAAACCCAGCCTTCCCACCCTTATTGAAAAGTGCGGCAGCGTTGCCCTTCACAACGTTTCAGCTTTCCCCACCTTGCCGAAACACCTAACAGAGCTCGATTCAAGTTGAAACCTTTCACGGGGCTCATTTTCAACAATTAAAGAGCATGGCAACCTGTAATTACTGAAAATAAAGCCAGACAGCTGGAGAAGGGAAGCATCTTTAATAAGTAACACGATACTACATTTTCCCTCTTCGGGAATTTAGCTATTAAGTCCCCAGCTCCCATTCCATCAGTTTGAGGTCTCGGTGTCTGCAATGAACCCAGTGTGCTTCTGCTACCTGCGAGCAGCGCAAACCCTAGAAAAGCAAACAGCACTTGGCAACCTGACTGAACGCAACTCGGAGAAAGCAACACCTCCATCCACGCTGGGGACAGACAGAAGTTCGGAGAGGAAAGCCTTCCAGAGCTTCCTGGACACACAGCATCTTAGACAACACTAGACCCCGCAAACACATTTTCCCAGCTTTAGCTGAGCTTCAGCTGCTTTCATTCCCCCAGCCCGGCCCACGCAACGCAAGCAGAAGTTAATGTTGTTTGTGAAGTAGCTTACCGCTCATCATCAACAGCACAAACATCTTTGCCTGTCGTATTTCCCAAGCCCCGGCTGCCTGTAACAGAAAGGAGGAAGCGCCAGCGTTTCATTCCCCTTCTGCTTCAGAGTGGGTGTAACTCGTCAAGTTTCATGCTAAGATGAGATGGGTCAATTGGGTGTGTTTGAAGGTTTGGGTTTTTGCCATCCCTCCCTTCCTTCTCCCCTCCCTCCCCCTCCTGATTAATTCCTGCCGTCGCAGGCTTCAGACGAGCTGCCACTCAGCCCTGCTGGCTCCCAAAATCTGAATTCCTAAGACACCCCTCCAGGGTGACTTTAGCTCACCAGCCCGGGACGCTGCAAGAGAAGCCAAGAACTAAAATACCCAGTCAACCCACAGAGGCGACTTGCACATCAGCTACACGTCAACCAGCCACGCGGTCCCCTTCCTCACGTTGCTAAACTGCATCATCCTTGGCATTTCATTGCATTTTCAGGGAGCTATTCACCAGCAAGATGTAAAATAAAAAAATTCTGAACCTACTCTGAACCTTTTGCCACTGCCCTCGACTTCCTTACGTCCCAGAGGATTTCTGCCTGGGTATGTATCTGGACAGTGCTTCTGTAAGAGGACAAGCGTTCGAAACGCACAGGCAATTGCCTCCCACTAAGCTGCCCACAGGTGCAAAAGTGTTTGCAAGATCAGGAACTACAGGGATTTAAAAATTACTCATGGATCTGGTTTTACTTAATTCACTACTTCCACGTAACTGTCTCTGCATTAGGATTTGAGCAGCATCGTCCTCAAGGCCAGGGTTGGTTAATGGTTGCTACAAGTAAGAAATACCAGTACAAAACCTAAACCATCTGTGTTTATCCCCCAACTTCCCCCACCTTGACTCTGCACCACTTATAGGGGAGAAGAAAAACAGGTATTCTTGGAATGAAGCAGACAACACAATAAATATGTTTTACAAACAGAAATCTAATTAATAAACAAATTAACATGTACAACTCTGTGTGATACTTCAAAAATACCGAGTATTAAGCAATAACCGTATCCTTGCAGCTCTGCCCTCTGCAACCCAGCAATGACCACGAACTGGGAAAGGACAAAACCATTAGGAAAAGAAAAAAATTAAATGGCAAAAGGTATGCACAGGAGCCCAGTTCTCCCACAGGGTTATACACACTGTTGTGCAACTGCAATGATTAAACAGCCATAGTAAGGCTGTGGGGCTCCACACGCCCGGGTGCTATGGATGCTGGAGGAGAGGGCTCTATTTCGGGCCAGCCAGAGATGAGATAGTTAGAGAAGTGATTTGATGCGGCACAATCATTTTTACACACCCCGTGATCAGAAACGGGTGAGCAAGCTGAGTTCCCTGGTACAGCAGTCAGTTTTAGCCCACTTCAAACAGCAGGTTTGTTTTAAGTTTACATTCAAGTACTCGCAGCATCAGATGTTTCTGATATATCTGCCCACGCTTAGAAAACACCAGGTCCCCCCGTGACCGCAAGGCACTCCTGATAAGCGCTGGAGTCCTCCACCTTGACAGCAGGGAAGGGCTGAAGGAGGGATGGGACCAGACGCACCATTTGGACTAGGAAGCACCAAGACGATCGATCCCTTAGCCTTACAGTTAATTTAAACACCAAATGAGCACAGCCAACAGCTCCTATTTGCGGGCCAGGCAGGAGAACAAACGGGAGAAAGCCCAGGGGAGCGGATCACCTCCTCCAGAAGTTTTCGGCGCCGGTAACTAGCAAACCCCAAGCAAGCGAGCAGGTTTGGCAAGCCGCGAGTGACTCAGAAGGCGAGGGGGGCTGCTGCTACCTGCCTTCAGGTTCACTCGGGCACGGCCAGCGCTCACCATCTTCAACCTATTCAAACAGCCCAACAGGCAAAAAGCCCTGTTCAGAGCTCCAACGCCACCCACCCTTAATCGCTCCCATCGGAACAAACTTCACCATTACATGGAAACCAATGTGTACGTATACACAGGCGTGCGTGCACACCAGCTCCCATAGATACAAAGCAATTATGCTCCAGTCCCAAAGGAGGAACATATATGCTTACTATGACAGATTGCAAGTGATTGTCTGAAGCGTTTTTCAGCTTAAGAGGACGAAAGGAGGCACACCCTTTTGCTGCCAGCATTAGGTCGAGCTGCGCTCTGTCACGGCAGTTTGGGGCATATCTTCCTGCTGGTTCTCTGTTACCTATAGCAAATCCTTGGCATGGCTGTGGCTCCCAGTGAATCTTGAACTACAACTGCCCCCCCTCCCTGTAATAGCTGCTTTCAAGAAAGCTTCAGACAACCAAGTCATAAGTCAGCAAGTCCCAAGCTGGTCTGACCACTGGTGGATTTTAAATCAGTGCAGATGGATAAAAGAAAAGCAGTGATTTTGCCTTTCCATCGTGACCCATAGCACCGGAACAAGAAACAGCAAGAAATAAAGAGCAAGACTGATGTATGGAGAGAGATGCACAAGAGAATTACAGGTGCCATCACATAGCTAAGATCTTAGTTTTTTGCAGATACAGCACTTGATTTGGTTAATCTGGTCGTTGCTGCAGTCCTCAGGAGGGGCTGGAAGGAGAGGCAAGGGAAGCCTTCTCCCCAGCCAGGCACCAGCCAACCCACCCTCCTCCAAAGCTTTGCTGAGAAACGAGATGACAGGCCTCCAGGGAAGCCTGGCTGGGGCGAGCGACTGGCCCCGGCACCCTGGCTCGGCTGACGCATTTGGATACGTGCCTTTTGATGTGGGCTTCTCCTCTGAAGGCGCGCGAGCCAACTTATATAATTCTTAATGCTCTCCTGCGCTAAGTGATTAGTGAAGACCTACCAAAACCTGTTTTCAGACAACCTGGCATATTCTGCCCAAAATGGGCTGGAGACAACCAGGCCAGCCGCTGAGCTGGCCGACTGGAGGGGACGTCACCTCCAGAAGCCTGAAGAAGTGGCCATCGGCTGACCCCTGTGGCTGGAAGGGGGCAGGCATTTAGCCTCCTCGTCTCAGCTGAATAAAAACGATGCCACTGGGAAAAGCCCCTTTTTCTCCCAGCATCAGCAGGACAAATCCTAGCAACCCTCCAGGGAGTCCACAGGCTTTCCCAAATATCCAGCTGAGATGTGGAGACCCCTCCTCAGAGCTCGGAGGAGAAAGGTCCCCCCAACATGGCATGGTCCACCTCCAGGACAGCACCTCCTGGGTTGTGAAAGGAGGGGAGAGGGACTCCCATCAGAGACAAGCCAAGTCTGTATCCTGCATAAAGGTGTATTTATCAACCCTAATTAACATCCCAGGCTTCTCACACCCTGGCACACCTGTTAATTAGCACACATGAGTTAATATCATTTTAACAATGGATTATTGCTTTGGGCAAAAAGATGGTTGAGAGTCACTTCAGAACAGTGACTCACCCTGAGCGCAGCAGCAAGGTAAGATATGAAGAGCATCAGCCGCACTTGCACAGGGCTATGCAGACCATATCTCTTTAACTACGGCTTACTTTACAAAGCCAAGGTGCTTCAAAAATTCATGATTGTATCTGTCTTACTTTCCACCTGCGCAAACAGATGGCCTTGGAGACTCATCCTGTCTCCATCCTCCAGACAACTGGAGCCACTCAGGTCTTTCTTCGAGTCCTTATAGCCATGGTGGAGTTCCTAATGGTCCCAGCCACCATGATTATCATCTGCTTTGGTCAAGCATGTTTGAGGACATGACCCAGGGCCCACCAGGCACTTATCATCTGCCAGGAATGACCCCAGGGGAACACCAAGGTGCTGATGCCCAATGCCAGTTTCGGCACTGCCCCAAATGTCCCATAACCACAGACCAACTTGGCGGCGCAAGGCAGGCACCCTGGAGCACATTACTGTGACATGATACTCCTTTTTCACATAGCACTGTAAGCCATAGCCCTACATACGCGACCTGGGCTTCAAAGTTCAAGCCGACTCTCGCACATCCCTGCGGATGATGTGGCCAAGCCATGCACCAGCTTTCACCCTGGTAACCCCCTCCCCTGGGAGCAACGCCCACGCTTCTGCCTCTGCGGCCTCACGCATCTGGCCGGAGGGACTGCGACCGAGAACACTGCTAAGGCAAAGTCGCTGCGTAGGTGGGGACACGGTTTGGCTTGAGCCATCTTATATTCAGTGATAAACTGAGGAAGAAAGTTGACTTAGGCTGCTTTTTTTTTTTTTTCTTTTAAGCCTCAGCTTTCAAGCTGGATCTCTGTGATGTAGAAGCTCACAAGAGGGCACTGATAGAAAACCATCATGCCGCCATCAGAGTCACTTCTACCCCCTCAAACTGATATTTGACACTCCCCACCTCATTTTGTCCAATACAAACCGGCAAACTGACCCTTGACAATTAAAGAACGTTAACACCATGAAAAATTATACTAGATTGAATGTATCCATACTCCCCGTTATCAGAAAGATTTTCTCAGCCTCATGTTTCTATTTGGGATTAGGAAGGGAGCTGTGAAAGGCAGGTATTGTTCAGCCACAAATAGTTCCCTTTCAGACCCTACAAAAGTAAGCTAATGAACTACAGGGTTGGGTTTTTTTCCCTTTGGAGAGGTCAGCAGATATATCAACTCAGGGGAAAACTGATCCCGTTGTTACACTGCAAGGGTAGCTGAAAAAGGTTTTGTAATGAGCTAGAGGGAGTGGATGCTGGCGATGAGCCAGGACCCTCGCCCACGAAACCAAAACGAACGACAAGAGGCATGAACCACCTCTGGAGCGAGTAAAAGTTAAATTTTAAGGCTCGTATTTCATTGTGCTGCTTATGGCTGGCAGTTTTCACACCGACTTTGCAGCGCCTCCGTGGGCACACTGCTCGCAGACGCTCAGCGCGCATAACTTCACAAGCAAAGGTAGGGCTCCTTCTCCTTACTGGGACCGTCCAGGTGCGTGCAGGTAAAATACACACCTCGGTGTATACGGGATTAATATCTGTAGAAGAGGTCTGCTTCTAGTCACCTAGCCTCAAGAGAGCACCCGCAGTGGTGAAGCCTTTCTGGACATGCATGCAAGCATGCACGCACACACA